TGAGGAGAAAACGGAGATGATGTGGATGAAGGTGTTGGGGGTTGAAGGGATGATGAAGATGGAGTAACAAAAGGCGATGGGGGCAGCTTAGATGAAGATGTTGGAGGCTTAAGGAATGTTGAAAATGCATAACCACATGACCATTGTTGTACTTTTACGAATTTAGGAGACAACGAAGATGTATCTGAGTGAAGAAGATTGCGGTTTTCTACACAATGTAGGAGGTTTAGGGGAAGATGATGGTGGATTAAAGGGAGACAGGACTGGTTTAGATGGAATTGATGGGGGTTTAGGGGGTGGCAAGAGGTATCTGTGGGAAGTATCGTAACGATAATCACGATCGTGTAATTCGGGAAGCTGATTGTAACAATCATAACAAAATTCAGGCACATATTCACCATAATAACATTCATGCTCATCTTCACCACCAAGAAGCCATTTCAAGAGTTTACGAAAAAACGACATGCTTTTCTTCTTTCTGTGAACAAAACACAGAAACCCAACGACCATTTGAGAACGAGAAGACCCCATTGCAGGGTCTAAAGTATGAGACTCATTCAACAATTTCTATAACAGAGATTAATATTTGAAATGAGCAAACCGAGGCAGAGGATTAATTAATAAATAAAAATATTAATTCAAAAATGCAAAATAAAAAGTTGGGACCGGAGACAAAGATCATCTGTTCTATGAGTTGCAATGTTACATGCAAATGAATCGAGAAGAGGAAGAAAGTTTACCGAATGCAACGCAGCAGCAGCTGAGCTTGTTGCTGAGTGTTGACCAGCCGACGACTGAACGTCGCTTTCCTTTTCGTTTTGGAAAGTTAAGAAGTCCGAAGACTGAAGATTCTTCCATAATAATGTACACGCTCACCAGTCCCACCCCTACCCGGGTCTTGCCAAATCAGCAAAAGGGACCCACCTAGATAAGGATCAAGGAGGGTATTAAACCAAGCAATTAAAAAAATTTAAACAAACAATTTGACATTTTAAAAGTAGTGCCAGAGAGACAGAAATAGCACATGCACCGACTTTTTTGTTTACAAGTACTTAACCTGACTCAATGGGTCTAGTCTAATGGTCTCATGTTCGAATTTTCATGATATCTTGGTATTGTGTGTGTGAGAAATCTCCTTTATTTATAATTTAGATTATCGCTTGTATTAAAAAAGATACGTTGTTATTTTAGATAGAAAAAATATGAAAAAACACCTGCAATGAGACTTAATTT